CGCGTACCGCCCGGGCTGCACCGAAGCACCGCCGTCCTGGGGTGCCGCCCCCTCCCCCAGCTCCCCAGCGACCACCCCTCCATTGTCCCTGCACGGCTGATGCGTGCGCTGTCTGGGGCTCCCGCCAGCCGCAGTCCGCGACGCCAGGGCCAGAAGAAAGCGCGCGAAAGGCGCGCTCCCTGCTCGGGCGCACGCGGCGACCGCCGCCCTCCGCCGCTCACTGCAGCATTTCGCGCGCTCGCGCCGCGCCCCTACCCTCCTGTCCTCATTTGCATATCCCACGGTCGCGACCAATCGGGGCTCGTCTCTCTCGAAGCGGATGGCTTTTGCCTGAGAGGAAAGGGAGTGGCTGGCGGCGCATGCGCCTCGGTGGCCGGCTTGAACCGAGGCTTTTATTGCTGTAGTTTATTTCCACCTCCTTCCCTCCTGTTCTCTCTCCCTCTTTCTCTGTCTCTCTCTCTCTCTTTATTATTTTTCCGCCCTAGCTGGGGCTGTGTTGGAGAAGAGGAAGAAAGAGAGACTGACGATTACATTTGTCCCTTAACGTTCCTGAAATTTGCTGCTAGGAAGACCAGCTAAGCGGTTGCACCGTTTTCAGTTCTGCAGGAAAAAACAAAAAACAAACCCAAGTCCCCTTCCTGGCAATTTTTGCTTAAAAGCTGCCTTCTTGAAATTATTTTTTTCCCAGGAGAGAGATGTCTTATCAGGGGAAGAAAAATATTCCACGCATCACGGTGAGTTTGGGACTTGGGAAATCTGCAGTAGGCCAGCAACCTTTTGGGGCACAGAACGTCCAAGGAATTTTCAGAAAGGAGAGGGAGAGTGACCCAACTTTTTTTTTCCTTCTGTTGCTAACAGAGGCAACGGCGGTGGTGGCGATGGTGGTGGTGGGAGACGCGGCGAGAAAGGATTATAAACCATAGCATATGCAAGGCATTAAAATAGGAACGTGAGTGCATGAAGGTGGCCTTAGGTAGCGCGCCGGGTCCGCGGTATCCCTTTTATTGTCAGCGCGAGATGCTGCAGCGCTGGCCGGCGGGGTGTAAGCAAATGGATGCCAGATTGAATATGCATGGTTGAAGCTCGGATATTGTTCTCCGGGCTGCGTGCTGCGAGGCTGGACTCCTGAATCCGCGCTGGGGAGATGGGGAAATGGATCCTCCCAGCGACTCCCGCCCCCTCCATAAAGGGTTTTCTGGAGCCTTCTCTGGCTCCTTTAGAAAAACGAGCGGGTTTCTGCCCAGAGGCGTGATGACAGCACAGGGATGCTGAAAAGGGCAGGGTGTACCGGAATGATGTGGAAACGCGAAGGGAAAACGGGGACGTGGAGATGAGCAGAGGAGGAAGGCGGGGGCCGAGCGGGGGCTTTTTGTTGACCCCCCGGGTTTTTGGTGGCCCTGCCTGTGTGCTCGCCCTCTGGTTTGGGGCTGGGGCCCTGGCAGGCTCTGGGCTCGCCTTCTCGGTCCTTCTGCCTCCTTCACCGCCGGCGAGGCGTCCGTGTTGGCGCATACAAAGCGGGCGGGCAGGGTGGGCGCTGGGGACCTCGGCGAGCTGGGCTGGGGAGGTAATGGCGCTGCGCGACGCGCGAGCAGATGGCCCGGCCGGCCAGACAATGATCGCAGCGGCCGGAGGTGTAGGCGCGGTTGTGGGGCCTAGGATTGTTAGTTCGTAAATCACGAGGGAGACGTCTGTGCAGTGACTTCGCGATGCTTCGGGGACGAACCCAGGATTCGCGCGCCCACCCTCTTCCCGACTTTTCCAGGATAATCTCGTTAGTCCCAGTCTCTGCATCCCCAGAGAGATCCCAGGGAGGGAGGAATGCCAGGGAAATTCATTGTTACATAATGATGTGCATTACAATTGCAGCCGACGAGCCGATTCCCGGGTGGAACCGAGGGCCGAGGCCGAGATCTAGAGAATCTTTGAAACGGCCAGGATGCATGTTAGGCTGGGTCCGAGGGCGGGCTTTTGCTCGCGTTTCCCCCTTTTCGCCACCGGCGCCCGGTGTTCCTTGCCAAGCACAAGGGCACACCCGTTCGCAGGAGAGAGATGTGGGGACGAAGGCACAGGGGAGGGGGCGTGTGCTGGGCGGATTTTCCAGCTGAGCTGGGTGCTTCTGCAGTGAGGGTGGGTATCTCGAAGAGCTGGGCCCGACCGTAGATGCTCCCCGCGCTGGAGCGAACAGTGGTGAGTCTGGAGAGCAGATTTTCAGCACGGCTCAAATCCTTTGCTGTCTTCGTGAATGAACCAAGGCAGTTTCGTTTTGACAGTGGAAAAAAAATTTTTAAAAGCAAACAATCAACAAGACCAATTTTTAAAAGAGCGCCCCCTCTATCCTTTGAAAAAAAAATCTGGCTGCATTATCATAGGACCTATAGTGTGGTGTCCCTCCCTCCATCAGCTTGGCCAGCCTCTTATGTAAGAGCCTTCTGGAAGGCACTGGAGTGAATGGGACTAGGATGTGTCGATTTTTTTTCTTGTCATGGTATTGGCTGGGGGGAATTCAAGGTGATGGCTGAGACAGGTACTGCAGGGTGGCAGGTGGGGAACGCCATGGCTGCTGCTTGCCTCCTGGGGGATATTTACCCTGTGAAAGCGCAGAGATCTGGTAAAAAAGTCAAGAACATTCTAGGCAGAGGAAGATGTGCTGGGTCAGGTGACCTAGGCAAGTGTCTTCACTTTAGCCTCAGTTTCATTATGTGTCACAGGAATAGCATCTGGCCCCTTGTACCTCACCGATTTGTTTTATGATCCCTATGGCCCTGATATACGTGGCAGGATTTTGTAAAGGTCTTCACATTGACCTTACACAGGTGCAGGAATTATTGTTGACAATTCCCCTGCAGCTTTCCAAAGTCTACATCAGGAAGGACCCAGCGGTGTCCAAAAGTGAAATGATCTTGTTTTTCAGTGTGTTAGAGAAACAATAAATACTTTCTAAACCCAGGTGTGTGCGTGTATGTGTAACAGCATCTGTTTTTCCTTGCTCTCCATTGGCTTATATATTTTTAAAAGATTTTATGTGACTCCCTTTTCTCGATAGCTGCTAGACATAAGTAGCATTTGCTGAGAATATTGTTTTGTAATCGAATTTTAACCATTGTCAAAATGAATGCCATTCTTTGTGTTGTGTATTAAAACGGCAGTATTCGGTTCAACTTGTCTGATTTAAACCCAGTCTGAAATAATACAGGTGCATATTTACTGAGCATACACTTTTAACATGGCTTTCCCTTAGCAGCCTGTGGAATAGTGATGAGTCATAATGTAGCATTTTTGTTACATTCTTGGCTCTTGTACCACTTGTCCCTTTATTTCTTCTTCTTCTTCTTTTTTTTTTTTTTTGCAAATACCACCAATTAAAATATAAGCCCATCAGCAATCTGTAGTGATGTTAGATTTTAGAATTTGCTGTCTCATATACTCTGTCATAAAACTTTTTTCTTAAGGACTCAGTTACAATGATGTATTTTTTGTAGGTTTCTTTTCCTTCCTTTTTGCTACACTTGCTGTGATTTACCTCAAAGATCAATGAAGATATAAAGGGCATGGTGATTTGCAACTTTGTTACAACTGAACCTAGTATGTTTGTATAACGTATCCCAGGGCGACAGACTTTTGCTCAATTTTCCTTGACATAAACCTTGCCAAGATGTGGCTTTCCTATACGTGGGTGTATTTTTTTTTTTTTTTTCTTAGATGAGGTTTAGCCAAAAGCCATATACAAAGTATCTTCCTTATAGGAAATGTTTTTACCACTCAGCAATGGGAACTCCCCCCACCCTCCAGTCATCAATGGGAGCTCCCCCCCCCTTTTTTTTCTTTCAGGTCTAATTGAAAGAGATGTGCATTTATCTAGAATAAGCTTTGATCTTTGCCAATGTGTTGTGACTCACCAGATGACTAGGTTGCTCCCTACAGGTTTACCTTTGTCACCGAAACTTCCCCCAATTGCCTCATTTTGACTGTCCCTTTTGAATGGTGAACGTGCCTCCTTAGCTTGTGTATCTTAGTACCTGTGTTTCTCGTGAGTTAGTGACCTCTTACTACGTCTTTGTTTCAGAGTGATCGTCTTCTGATCAAAGGAGGTAAAATTGTTAATGATGACCAGTCGTTCTATGCAGACATATACATGGAAGATGGGTTGATCAAGTAAGTCTAACTCTTCATATAGAGACACTTTGCATACCTACCAGTATCACCAAAGGTTAGCTTCCATTCACACACTCATGACCAGGCTAGAATGACATGAAGAGTGACCAACTTAGTATCTGTTTTTAAACCCATTTTGAATGATGGAAATCAGTGATTTGAAAGCTCAGATTTAGGGAATTCAAAGCAATAAATTATATGCCCACCCATTTCAATATGCATTATGTAATTTACTATTTTTAAATGAGGTGACACAGTATCTTCCTGTTGCCAGCTCAGATACTTGGTTTGTGATATGTTGACTACATTAAAGATTTCCTAGAATGTAGTCCGGGATGGCTTGCCCAGACAAAGGAGACAGAAGTGGGATATGGCCTCTTCTATAAAGATAGCACATTTATTTCCTTGAGCTAGAATCCAAGTTGCAGAGGCCAAAGAAGGGTAGCAAGTTAATTACCAAGTAGCACAGACAAATTACTGCCTAACCCTGGGGGAATTTTAGGTTTCATTCTTTAAGTGGCAACTAGTACAAATAAGATCTGTTTATTGTGTGTGATGTTACAATGGGGAGATACCAAGCTGTTACTTTAGAGGGTTAAGGGGGCTGAATACATACTGAATACATAGTATTCTCATGCTCTTTCTACTGGGATAGCTCACAGGGCTCTGGAGAAATAACACATCTGGTATAGCCAAACATTGCAGCAAATGACATTTTTTTTTTAAAAAGCAGCATTCATCAAGAGCTGGTAGCTAACTGGTCGAGAGGAGTGGAAAACTGGGGTGGACACGACTGTTGCCTGAAAGCTCACGCCCTGATTTATGAACCTAAAATAGTCTGAACATTTCCACATTTAATGTTTTCTCCATGTGTGTTTGCTGTGACAGTCTCAGCTCTGGTCTCTCAAATGCCATAACTTTCCTGTTCCATTTCCCCCTATTGCAAGGCGGCACGATCTGGTCTAGCAGAGAGACACTGGCCTAGAAATGTCTTTCACGGGCCTCTCTGCTATTTTTGGTCGTCACTAATTTGTTCTAGAATCTCAGCAACTCTTCCTCAATGAATATGCTTTAAAAAAAAATTGGTAGAAATATATGATAAATATATATATATTTTTTAAATTGGAAAGGACTCAGTGTCTCTCAACATAATGAATATTCATTTTTCTGCCTTTATAATCTAATTTGAGCAGATGCTTCCAAATTTTCAAATCATTGCAATCCACAGTGTTCACTGATTTTGGCTTTGTTTTGTTCTATTCCCACCCTTCAACCCCTATCTTTTCTCCAGTGAAAAAGGATATCCTGAAAATAAGTGTTTGGAAAGTACATCTGGAGAAAACTGCTATAGGAGAATTAGCTCAACTGTGCTGTAAAGAAAGTTTAGTGACTTTTCATGTAAATATCTTTGGGCGTGGTTATCATTTGATCTTAGGAGTTTCTTGGTAACTAAATCTCTTTGAATGGGGCCTCTGTTACCTTATTTAAATTTTGCTCTCTAGTATATTCTGCTTTGTCTTTTGGTTGGGGTAGGGAGTGGGTAGTGTTTCTATTTTGAATAATAACCATAATCCGAAATGCCCATAGCTCACTGGAGAACGGTTTGTAGATTAATGAGAGTAGATGTCAGATCCCATTTCATTCCACTGCAATCCTTATCACTGCCCCTGTTTATTTAGGCAAATAGGAGAAAACCTGATTGTTCCAGGAGGGGTGAAGACCATTGAAGCCCATTCCAGGATGGTGATTCCGGGCGGAATTGATGTCCATACACGTTTCCAGATGCCTGACCAGGGGATGACATCCGCTGATGACTTCTTCCAAGGAACCAAGGCATCCCTGGCCGGAGGAACCACCATGATCAGTAAGAGGCTCACACCTCACCACTGTGGGGATCAAAATCATATGTGTTGTTTGGTTTTTTTCTTTCTGAATCTGGCTAAACGGAGCATCAGTTTGATCTGCCGAAAAAGGGGACATCTTATTTCTTTATGCTTGTTCTCTGTCAAATTTCAAGTTGTTCAGTGGAACCAGAGAATATGATTCTAGGAAATTTTGGTTAGAAAGGAGGAATGGCTTCTTTCTCTGCTTGAGGGTTTTCCTTGGCCCATAAAGGTGATTTGGTTGTGAAAACACAGGATTCAGAGTCCTCGTCAAGGCAATGAGTTTTGAGCCTTTGGTCCTAAGGATTTGATTTTGATTTTTAAAAAAGTTCCTAAGGGTATTTCTTTTCAGAATGAATCTGGGGTGCTGCAAAGGAAATGTTGACCCAGGAACCTCTGTTCCACAGATGAGGAACTCAAATGGGGGGGAGAGATACTTTCTAGCCCAAGTTTGATATAAAAGGAATTGGACAACCCTGCCTGGAGAGGGAGCCACACATAATAATTGTCCTTTAGTTATGAACATTCTTGCATGCACAGCCAGTTTCCCTGGTTGCTCCATAAATGTCACAGCGAAGGCTTTGTGATTTTTGTCAGCCAAATCTAAGCTGTATTCACTGGACACAGGACACGTGCTTGTGTTTGCTTGTGAATTATCAGATCCCACAGTGTGCCTATGGACTGTCCTTTGACGGATGTCATTTTGTTTTTGAAGTGGTGGTCAAGCTGCACCATGACGGCTCAGATGTATTCATATATTTAAAAAAATAGATTTTATCCAAGAGTGAGAGTCTATAACATAGAGTCTGTTGTACATGAAAAGCTAACAGTTTGGTTCAGAAGAGGGTCTAAGTCAGCGGTTCTCAACCTGTGGGTCGTGACCCCTTTTTAACAATGAAAATACATTGCAGCATGAGGAAGGTTGAGAACCACTGGTCTATGTAGAAATAATTGAGCTATTTCTGCTTTAGAAAAACCTGTCTTGCTGGTTACTTTTTCAGAGTGATTTCTTTTTACCTCTGTGGTCTTTCTGGAAGCTTCTTTTTTCTTTAAATCTTGCTTGAGCTAGAGGACTGTGCCCCTGCCCTCCCCCTCTCCACTGACCCCCTCGGCTCCCCTGCATTTTAAATTACTCATTCACCCTCAGGTGTCCTCTCTGTGTTCAGTGTCTGAAGCATTAGGGACAGTTCCCTCCTGCCCAGCTTCCTGTCACTAAGGAGAAAAGACTCCAGGTGAGAAAAGCCTCCAGGTGTGAACCTGGTGACTTTGGTCTTGTTCCGGGCAGGCTGCCCTCTGACCTGTGGGAGCCATTCCTAAGGGGGCCTTTGTGCATACCCTGGGACTCAGCTACTTGACCAGCTGTCCCTTTGTCACTTGTGGGCATTTCTGCTCCTTCTCCAGGATAGCCTGTGGAGTGACAGCTCTTGGGCTGGAGAGCACAGACTGCTTAGTGTCAGCTGAGAAGGCCAAGTCTAGGTGCCGATCTGCCTCAGTTTAGAGGTCATGCAGGTCCTTGCAATAGTCACAGAAGGTCAATAAGCCATAAATAATATTTCCTGCATGAGTATTCAGTAATATCTATCTCTGGATGAGGAAATCCTCAGAACTGGGAGTCAGAAATCTGGAGTTCTGTCCAACACTCCCTTGCTGTGTGACCCTGGGCAGGCTGCTTCACCTCTCTGTGCTTTTGTTGTACGTCTGTGCAATGGAGGGTTTGTACTAAGTGACCCGGGGAGTCCTTTCCAGCTCCCAGGTTCAGTCATTCATTGAGTTCGGAGGGGATTTTGCTTGTGATCAAATGAGCTTTGCTGGGGGATATAGAAAGACGCAGTCAGGTGTGTTCTCCTGTCTGGCCTCCCTGCCTCTCCACTGCTGTCTTCGTTCTGCTTTTAACCCTTCCCTGCCTTCCCTCCCCTGTCCTAGGGCCGAGCCTTCTCACTGTCACCCGACTTCCCCTGTGGCCTTCTTCCCATTCATCCGGGTCGTTCTTTCTGTGTGGGAATGAGGGACACCAACACAAGTCCCACACCTGGCCCAGGGTGCCCGGAACTGGCAGCAGATGGCTTCAGGGCAGATGGGCAGGAAAGGGGGTGAAGACTCAGGCCGCCGGCCCTGCTCACTCGCACAGAACGTGCTGGCGTTTTGCTGTGTGTTCTGCGATGCAGTCAGGCCCAAGAGTGGGATGGGGGTTTCTAAACAAGGAAATCGAAGGATAAACGTAATCCGAGGTGGCAGGTGTGGCGAGTCGGCACACCCAAACTCCATTGCTTCTGTAGTCTGGGGAAGGTATTAACTGCTCTTGCACATAACCACCCCTGGTTACTGACCTGTGTGGAATTTCTACTGGCCCACCTTTCCCTCGGGAGGTGAGTAATAACGATACATATGAAGGAATCAGTTTATTTTCTTTTCTCTGTTGGTCTTGTGTTTCGTGTGGCTTCAAATAAGCATGGATCTGGGGCTTGCTTCTAAGCAGGTGGGCTTGTGAAGAACCATCACTTGGCACAACTTTGCTGGTAGCTGCTACCTGTGAGCTTTGATGCATATTGAGTCTCAAATGAAACACCGAGGGCGCGTTCGACAGATTGGGGTGCATGCCTCGCCTGCCCACTGCTGCTTGCTGGAACAGGCGGTTGAAGTAATGTGGTACAAAGACCCCTGTGCCCTCTTCCCCCAGCTTTCTGATTCTCTCCGGGCTGGGTCTCCTGCTTTCCTAGGTGACTCTTCACCTGCCTCCTTGCTGGCTGTGTGTTTCCCAGGTCACAGGCTCTGGAAGCTCCATTTCTATCTGAAATGGCACTGCCTTCAGAGAAAGATGCAGCTGACTATTCCCCAGTCTAAAAAAGGGGATAGCGCGTCAGCAGCAGAAAATAATATTATTGCCAACAAACAGAGCCTGGTATTGAGAGTTGCACAAGGGGATCTTTGTGAGGGGCGCTCTGCGGGGCAGGAGGAATGCCCTTTGCCCTTTCCAGCTAGTGGTGGGTGGACAGAGACTCCAGACATACCCTGTAGGCGCACCCAGCCTGGCTGGGGGTCATAGGGTGGCAGGGCTGCTGCTTGGGGAAAACATTAGGGAAATCTCAGGGGCTTTGTGCTCCTCCGAGGTATTAGGACCCCAGAGTCCCCAGGAAGCAGGTGCGGGCAATTGCCTCCATTTGTAGCAGGGAAGACTGAGCCCAGAGGGACAGGCCTTGCCAGTACTTGCCCTGCGTGTCAGTGCAGGTGTGGAACATGCACCTGCAGCTTGGCCCCGCCCCCTCCCAGCAGCACTGCCTTTGCTTTCAGACTCAGTTATCCCATCTGTGAAATGGGGACTGTTGTTACAAAGACTAACTGTGGTGACATCAGAACGGTACCTGGGTGGTGGTGAGCACTCACACGGTCACTGTCATTCTAGCCTGCGCTGGGAGACCTCCCATCTCTGGTTTCTCTTTGGAGTTCTTCTCTCCCAGCAGAGCTGGAGAAACAGGCTCTGACTGCTGGAGGGCCTGACCCGAGCATCCTTGAAGAGCAGGGGTTCTCCAGGCATGGCCAGTGAACTGTGTGGCTCGGTATCCCCAGAAGAGGGGATACATCTTAAAACATCACCTTTCCTGGGTCCCACCCAACCTATTAAAGTAGCAAATCTGCTGGTGGGGGCCTTTGACTCTGTGTTCTAATCTGGCCTAGTCCAAAGCACTGGGGACCTGTTTGGCAGTGTAGGCCTCAGGGGGCTGTGCCAGATCTACCCACTCTGGACCTCTGAGGATCGGGAGTCACTGTTCTGCGTGGCGTTTCTGCTCACTTGAACTGAGGGCTTTCCCTAGAAGGTGTGCAGCCCTGGGCACCACACACCTCAGCACAGGAGGGGGGCTCCCTGGTGCTGAAACCCAAGATCAGATCATGGAGAAGGTGAGAGCAGTGTGGACCTCAGGGCAGGAAGGGGTCCTCCCTCCTGAATGCTAGACCTGTCGCTTCTCTGGCTGCGGCTCCATCCACCTGTCCCCATTTGGACCCCCGCTCTGCTCCTGTGTGTCTCCAACTTTTCCAGTGCCAGGTCCTGGGGAGGGCTGCCCTTGTGGTCCAGCTGTCTGGGGCCTGCAGAGCCGTCCTGGTGTCTTCCTGTTCTCCTGCTGCCTTGGGCTGCTTTTGTTTCCATGTTATCTCTTGCGCCCATTTCTTCACCCCACTGCTGCTGACCTTTGTCAGCTCTTGCTGGATTTTTGCCCAGCCCTCTGAGGACTCTTGTTGCCCCAGTCTCTGTCGCCGGGCTCTCTCTTCAGCACAGCTTGGATCATGCCATCTCCTGACTCTGACTCTTCAGAGAAGTCAGGCCCGATCCTGCCACATTCATGCTGTCGCCCTCCCTTAGCAGCTGGCCTGGGTGCTCCCTGCTTCTTGGAGCTGCTCCCTGGGGCCCTTCCCTGCCTGGCACCTTGGCAAACACTGGGTGTTTATTTTGTGGCCCTTGTGGTATTCAGCCTTGCATTGTGGTTGAAGCCAGGCCCTCGGTCTTCCATTTTCCTGTTTCCCACTCTCTGGGCAGCATCTCCCTCCCAGGACACACTTCATTAGTGCCTGCCTGAGGGTGAATGAATGAATGAATGAATACATACATACACCAATGGGAGTGACATCAGAGGACAGCATATCATGGGGACAGAAGGAGGGTGTCCTATATGAATTGTTCTCCCCAGTGGGAAGAGCTGCCTCCTCAGCCTTGCCCCCCTTTCTGTGGACCCAGAGACCCTAGTCCCTGTAATCAGTGCTGGCAGTGGTATGGAGAGTGCAGGATGGGAAAGTGTGGAGTCCCAGCGTGGCCTGTGTTTGTGGACGGTTGTGGACAGGGACAGCTCCTAGTGTCCAGGCTCTTCTTTATATGGGGCTGGGAGCAGCAGCTCTCACACTGGTCCTCCGAGGAGACAGCTTATCTTGCAGTGGAGAGGGTTACACCTTAGAGAAGTCACGTGGCCCTGAGCTGTCATCCTCAAAACCTCTT